TGGTTTCTGCCAACGATCCGGTATTTCTGAATGGGCTGAGGCTGGGACTTAGCGGATTTAAAAGCGAAAGTATTTGATGAACAGCTAGGGAATGACTGTGTTCTTGTCTGCCTGAAAAGTAATACTAAGTAAAACATGGTGTCAGGAGTGGTTCTCTCGTAAGAAAGAAGACTGAACAGAAAGTCTAAAGAAGCAAGAGAAGTGATTGTAAAGTCCAGACGAGCAAAAGAGAAAAGGACAAAATAGCAAGAAGCTAAAAGCAGAGGGACTTCCGGTGGTAATTCGAAGCGTATGGCTGCATAATCCCGCACTCCCGTTCGGTCGGAGTTTATTCCCCAATTTGAAAATATTAAGATTTGATCTTTGTACAACTAATGATGGAAGGGGAAAAATACAGGAAAGCCAAGGGAAAGCAGACTGGGAAAGCGGAGAAGAGTGAGAAAATAACGACTGAGGGCGTCATGGACGAGGAACAAGGAGAGAGTAATGGCGCGCATGGACAAAATGCTAAACTAACAGATGAGGATATGAAAGTTAACATCGCCGCCATCCGCGCAGACATAAAAATGATGTCAACGGAGTTGAAGACTGAGCTGAGTAATTTTCGAGACAGAATCAGAGATGACTTGAAGAAGGAGCTAGAGGAATTTCAAGAGGAAATTCACCAGAAGCTTAACGAGGTCGCAACCGATCTAAAAACGACTACTGACAGAGTGAGTGAGGCCGAGGCTCAGATAGCCGAAGCTGAAGAGTGGTCCGTGGACTTTAGAGAGGCACTGAGCCAGTCACTACAAGCTCAGGAAAGTTTGCAGTTAAAGCTAACAGACTTGGAAGCACGCTCAAGGCGTAACAATGTTCGCATTTATGGGATCCCAGAGGGAACTGAGGGAAACAATATTTTCCAATTCATAGAAAACTTTCTTAGAAAAGAGCTGGAACCCCTTGCTGATGTTGACCTTGGAATACAACGATGCCACAGAGCGCTCGGCCCCAAACCGCCTAGAGAAGCGCAAGCCAGATCGGTGATCGTCTACTTTCAGCAGTTTAAAATTAAAGAGATGGTTCTGCATTCTGCGTGGAAGAAAAAGGAGATTTACCACAGCGACAGGAGGATCTACTTCGATCATGACTATCCTGCAGAAACGCTAGCAAAAAGGAAGGCGTATACGCAGATCAGGAGGATTCTCAGAGAAAAGGGAATACGGTTTCAAACACCGCCACCAGCGAAACTGCGAGTCTTTTTTGAAACTGGGCCGATTACTTATGGAAACGCAGTGGAAGCAGCAGAGGATCTGAAGAAGAGGGGGTTCCCTATTGAGTGGGAGAAAACTGCTGAGGTGTCTGCGGAAAAAGCACGGAAGGCCGGCTGGCAGCGATCAACGAACGCGAACATGGCAAATCGGCCGAGCCGCCAGGAATGGATCAAGGAGAAGCTACGGAGTTTTCACCGACCAAGATAGATCTAACGTTAGAGCCATTAAGGTAATGGAATCGGAAGACAACAGGCCGTTAAGTGACTACATTATAAGAGTGGAAAATATTGAGCAAACGAGGCAGTTGTCTGTTTAGGGACATTAATGCTTTAATGACAATTGCACCTAGATTTAATGTCCTCAATGTGTTGGAGTAAAGACGAGGTTAAATTACATTATAGTCTTTTAAGGTGATGGTAACATCCCCACAAGTCTGTTATTCTTTATTCATTATATTTTCCCTATTTAACATAGCTTATATATTGTTGATTCTTCAGTTCTGTTAGAGTTTAAATATCCAGTTTAACTGATTAAAATCACCCTTAGCCTTAAATGAGAATATAGCTGACCGACAAGTACGGGTACTACATTTGTTTTTGACTTTTCTAAGTGCAAACAGTACATTCTTGAGTGTACTATAGGTTGCACTGAAGGGGGGCTCTGGTGGTTAGCTGCTGGACTATTCCCCCACATCACGAAGTGGTTATTACTTCATAATGGAGGTCTACCTGTGTTTTTTGATTTGTTGGTTTATTTTTTGTTGTTGTGATGTTCTGATTTTGTTATATAGTTCGAATATAGTTCAGGTTTGGTCACCAATAATGTGGGTTACAAACAATGTCTTGCTGTGGTTTAAATGCAATGTCAGGAATATAGGGTGATTACCCTTAACGTAAATGGTCTACACAATCCAATTAAGAGAAGCAAGGCTATTGCAAAGATGAAAAAGGAAAAGTTACATATCATATTTTGGCAGGAGACTCATTTCAACAGCGCAGAACACGAAAAATTAAAAAAACTAGGGTTTAAGAATGTATTTTACTCATCATATGAGAAAGGGAAAAGAAGAGGGGTAGCAATACTAATTTCTAATAGTGTGAATTTTCAAGTGGTCTCTGAATTTACTGATAAAGAGGGCCGTTATGTTTTAGTTAAGGGATTTCTAGATCAGAAAGAAGTTACACTAGTTGATGTGTATATAGCCCCTGAGCTGGACAATTCCTGTATTAAAGAAATTTTTCAGTTAATTGCTTCTGAATCCTCTGGGGTCTTAATATGTGGAGGAGACTGGAACACCCAAATACAGCCTAAACTCGATTCTTCTAATACACTAAAGAGGTTAACTTCCAGAGCTAGTATAACGAAAAAACTTTTGATGGAGTTGGGACTGATTGATGCCTGGAGGGATCTCCACCCAACAGACAAACAATTCACATTCTACTCTGCAAGTCAAGATGTTTACTCAAGAATTGATTATTTTTTTTATTTGTAAATCAGACAGGCACAGAATTATAGATTGCAAGATAGGAGTCAGAGATATCTCTGATCACTCAGCTGTCTACTTGACACTGCATTTAAATAATAAAAAGAAGGATATGTTATGGCGACTTAATACAAGCATTCTAAATGATAGTACATGTAAGGAATATGTCCAAAAAGAACTGGGAGATTATATGGATAACAACGATAACGGGGAAGTATCACCAAGTGTCCTGTGGGATGCCTTAAAATCAGTGATCAGGGGAAAACTCATAGCTCTCACATCATATAGAAAAAAGGAAAGAAGTAAAAGGCTGCTTGAACTACAAAAAAATCTGAACCTCTTAGAGATAGAACATGTTGAGAAGAAGAAACCATATATATTAAATCAAATAAACAATGTTAAAAAGGAAATAAATAAATTATATGAGGAAGAATTAGAGAAAAAAGCTGAATTCATTAGACAGAGATATTATGAAAATGGCCCTAACACTGTAGAATCAAATCATACTCCTTACTATAAAAATACTAGTAGGTTTACTTGATTTTAACCAAAATGTTGAGTTTACTACAAATTTTATATTGTTGCTGAAATATTAGAAAATATAGCTCCCATAACTAACGTAATTTAAGTAAAATTACTCAAAATGTCCAAGAGGTGCTGTTACGCACGCGTACTGGTCCACAATTTCCCCCTCCCCCACACACAGCACAGAAGCACATGCAGCTTACCGAGAGGATCGCACGTCGTGAAGTTCAAGGTAAACTCTTTTAATTTAAACCTCATTTTCTAATTTGTTTGTGTGTTAGTCTTAATAATTGTTACATTTTCTGCACGTTGTTAGTTGCATTCTGTTTTGTTGAATATATTAGCCCATGTTAAGAACTTATACAAACACGTTTTGACCACTGCGCATCATCTGAAGCAATTTCTGCTCAAACTAGTTATTTTCCGCTTTATATCTGTAAATCCAGCTGTCTGGTTGCCTATAAATTACTATTAACGTTAATTAATTAATTTGTTTTAGTGATGGGCAACGTTAGCCAGTAATTTGAACTGATGATTGGCCATGAATGATTCTGCAGACGCGATGGTTTAACGTTACAGAATTCAAAATTCAGTGACAACTGTACAAAACGTGTCAAATGGGTCACCTTGTTTTGAATTTTGTGTTTATGGAATGATTTTCGTTGACGCTCAGCATATAGGCCAATTATATGTTTGTAAACATTCGGGATGCGCGCGCAACATGGTTGCAGAAGAGAGAGCGCGGGAGAGGAGTTAGCTAGCAAAATAATACGTTACGTTATACACATAGTAGTTAGATATCAACATTACATTTTATATTGATTAGATGGTACATATTTAAAATGTTCTCCGCGTACTACAACAGCTTGTCGCCCAGCGATAAGAACTGTTATTCAGCTAAGCTTACCTTAATGAGTGGGATACGTCTTACAGATCCGTTTGCCATAGAGCCTTGTCAATGGTCAAACGACGAAACGAAATGGCCAAGCATTCAGTGGCCAGAAATATATAATTACCTGATCGACACTCCAAGTGTTTATACCCAGGAGAAGTTGAAAGCGTACAAATCTCTTGATGCCTATAATTTTGTTCTGTGTGGTCATGTCCAAGACATACAACTTGATTACAAAGTTCAAAACTTCGTTGTGCTTAAGACGGAGGTTCTGCCTAGTCAAAGACAGGGTAAGAAGACGGAGTAAGGAGAAAGGTTGTGGAGTGGTACTGTGAACAGTGCAAAAATTAATGAGTCAGAATGAAGTGTAAATAGAAACAAATTATTTAATACACACTAGTATTTTACATCGAAGCACAATCAAATAAAAAAAAATGTACAGCAATAATTATTACCAATATAATCAATTATAAATACATTAATATAATAATAATAAATATAATATAAAAATGTATACAGAAAATCTGATTATCTGTATTAATTGTTCTTCTATTTTATTTATGTTTTGGGTCTGCCCTTTTTTTTACTTGGCAAGGCTGCTATCACTATATCAGTTTGGTTTTGATAATACTGTTTTCTCTGACATTTTCATTTGGACTATGTCAATATGTTTGTTTTGTTTTTTCAAATTAATTACATTTTTGTTGTTATTGTTAAAATTATTATATATATATATATATATATTATATGTACATATGTATATTATTACTCATAGTCTATTAATGTAATTTACTTAATTGTTCAGTGATCCTTCTCTGTTTTGTTGCGGTCACCACTACCTAAAAAATAATAATTAAAAAAAAAAAGTTAACCACTCCAAGTTATCTTCTTGGGACTATGCATTTACAGAGGTTTGTTAATGCTCCACACACAATCACCATGTCATCTAAGAGGTCAACCTGTGTGAGTGGAATAACAGTTGTCAGAATTTTGAAGTTTTTCCATCTACCAATTACTCTTTCAATGTGTATTCTCACATTAGACAAACGCCTTGATGTGTCAACTTCTTGAGCAGAGAGCTGCTTCCTACCTTTGGTAAAGTGAGGGATCTTAAGGGTGGCACCGCGTGTGGCAAGCTCATCTCTGATGGTAAAACCACGATCTGCTAGAATCTCATCATTATGCTCTAGAAGGTCATAAAATCCAGACTCTGCTGTAATTTGTTTATCGGAAACACGCCCGCCCCAACCTGCCGACAGAAAAGTAATGGCTCCTGCAGGTGACATGCCAACTAAATATTTTACAGTGTTGTGGCTTTTATAAGTTGAGTACGTCTGGGCTCTGGAGGTTAAATTTGTGGGTCTGTTTATAAAAATTTCTGTGCAGTCAATAATGCACCTGCAACGCTTATATTTAGGTTTAAAACATTTTGGCATATTCTTTAATATTGCATACTTGCTTGGCCACTTAATGAGAGGTTTTAAAGTCGCAGACATGACAGGGAGCCAACTTCTCAAAATTTTCGAGACGTCACATTCTGTGACATTAAATCTAAAAGCAATATCCTTGTTGCTGAGTCCTAATCTTAGTTTCATTAGGGTAACTAATAGATGGTCCTCTAGGTTCATAGAGCTACGCACAACCTCTACACTGCCTTTAAGTTTCTGAATCAACCACTCAAAAATGACACTGGTCAGACCTGTGAAAAACAGAACATGCACCGCTTTGCTCTTGATAGAGCTAAAGGAAAACTGTGTTTTTCTGAGTGTTTCCTTTAGTTCCTCCTTCTCTGATTTCAGTTTGTTGATCTCTGAACGCAGGTTGACACACTCTGCAGAAAGTTGGCTGTACTTGAGTTTCAGCTCATCATGGAGAACCTTCGGGACTGTGGCTTCTGAAATACAGAGTAGATTGTTGTTGACTTCTAAAAGATGCACTGTTACTTGTTTTAGCTTAGATTTTCTCTATTATTTAATGTATATTTTCAGACAGCATGTGCTAAACAGAATCATTTTCAACTTTATTCACAACATAGTTATGCTGTATTGAAAAATGTATAAACAGGGTGACCTGATTCATCATAATAGTGACTGCCCTACATTAGTTAAAATGTTAGAAGTTCTTACCGATGAAAGGACCAGCACCAGGCTCCATTCTGCAGTCATCTGAGGACAGGCAAGCGGCTGAGGATTCTGATGCAACCTCATCTGTAACTTCTGTGGACAGGTGGATGTGATCTGTTGGTCTGTGTGTGGTTTCCTCTCTTGTTCTTTTCCTCTTAAATCTGATACTCAGAGAAGAGAGCAAGCAGTCAGGCCAAAATAGTTTAGTTGCTTGGTAGATCACAGAGGCTATCAGTTCCCCAAATGAAGTCAAGTGTAAATCACATAGAATCCCTCAAAGGACTTAACAAGAAAATGCAGACATAACAGAAACGATCTGGTCCAATAAATCCTCTTGCCAAAAACAATGTGACATTAAATTACTGGCCATAAATTCCCTGCTCTTCAATGCATGCAGAGAATGGATGGTGAGTAATGTAGGGCCCTATGAAATCCGTTTTATTTTTTCCCAAATTCCGTTTTATTTTTTCCCAAATTCCGTTTTTTCCGTTTAAATTTTTGGGAATTCATTTTTTTTTACCCTTTACTGTTATTTTAGTCATAAAAAGAGTGTGCTTTTAAAGTTAATGATTAAAATGTATACAAATAAAATAGGAATGACCTTAAATTACAGACATTTACTCAGTAGCCTTTTCAGGACAAATACTGCATGATGCAACATGACACTGCACTCTTCAAGTAACAACAAAATATGGTTATGAGCTTTAAACTGTCCAGTAAAATAAATTATATTAGTTTAAATAAAAGTCACACTCTGTCTCTCTCTCGCCCAGTGTCGCTCGCGGAGTTCGCTTCGCTTTTGTCCAGTCCGGCGCCTCATAGACAGACGCGGTGTGTGTGTGTGTGTGTGTGTGTGCGCGTGTGTGTATGTGAGAGAGACGCGTGAGTGTTAGAGAGACGAAACGGAATATGTGGCGGCCGGAGTTGATTTTGTGGCCGCGAATTAGTCTATGTGTGGGAAACACTGCATAAAAGTCACATGCAAACTGCTCGGCTCGGTACTGAGGGCTTATAGCGTCGAGTTTCTTAACTTTTTCGCCGACGAAAGCAGAGTCGTGGAGAGCCGCTTCGCCATGCTTTCATTGTTTTGATGCCGTCATTGGAGCTGAAATGACGGGAGGGGTTGTGTCGCCCAGATTTGCTTCCCCCGGTCTGCATTTTCACCAGACATACGTTCTTCTCCCACACAAAAACAGAATTTCAATCCAAATATGTAAAATTCCACAAAATTCCGCGTTAACACTAGATTCCGCGTTAATTTGCCAATTCCGTAATTCCGTCCGCGATTCCGTAATCGCGGAAATCATAGGGCCCTAGTAATGATGTGATCCCAGTGAGCAACTAAATGAGGTGAAAGTGACAATATTTACCTCTCAAGTTTTGCATCGCCTTTGTTTGCTTCACACTGGGTTGAGTAGGAAAAAACAGACGGGACAAAGTCAGGACTACTGAAGTCCATGGACACCTCTCCTGTACAAAAAAGTTAGGTCTGTTAGTGTTACAGTTAAATTTAGTCTGAGTTCGCTATAACCGCGTTATTAGCCCAAATACTAAGTACATTTGCTAGATACTAGACCAGCTAGCTAACTGTCAGGTTAACTAACGTTACCTAGCAAGACAACGTAACGCAACTGAACAAAGGTAACGTTAAATTAGCTAGTAATTTAAGCTAGCTAGTCTCAAACTCATACATTGTTCGTTATTCTATTGTTAGATAAGTGTACTTAATACATCAGAGTTTTTGTTGTAAACTAAATCGAGTGATGATGTGGGTGATTTAGCGCAGCTTACCTGATATGAAGTGAGAACTGCAGAGTCGGGCGTTTTTAATTAGGTTGTCGTTCCAGTCGATTCTTCTGAGGGCTTGTAACCAAAGACGTCTGCGGTTGGTGTTAAAAGGAGTGTGAGTTGATGGTATTCGGTAAAACCTCAGACCTTTGTTTACAGATTTTCGATTCTGGCAACCCACTGCACAACACGACATTTTCCCGGGTTTGTTTCAGCGGCCAGCTTCTGCATCCGACATGCGCAGTTGCACCTGGGTGACGTCAGTGTGACGTAGTGTGATAATTCCCCTATAGGCCTAGATAGCTGGACGCGCCAATTTCGAAAGAGGGCGCGCAATCCAGGCAAAGTAAGTTACAAATGGATGGAAAAGACCGCTAACAGATCAGTTATTTTAAAATCTTTAAAATAACCATTTTAACTTGACAGGGCACGTTAAAAACGCAACGATAAATGCTGAACTCCAGTCAGGCCGGTTGCTTCGAAAATTAAATGCGTGCTTATTATGATAATTGCGGCAATATGCAGGCAGCACAACAAGGAAATTGTGAGGTGTTTTTTTATCGAGTTTGTTACGGAGTATTTAGCAGACCCCTTAACCCACCTCCTCAAGCAGAGTATAAACACATAATATAACATTTGTATAAACTTATTTAAATATAAGTTAGCTCATAAACTTTAACAGTCTTAGTTTTAAATTAATACCTAATGCATGTGCTGTTTCCATTTAACTCATTGACCAACTGCTTTGCATGTGTCTCACAATTTGGGAAAAAAAAGAGAGGGAGAGAAACACTGGTCTATGCATCTGATTATGTTGTTTGTTCATTGACTTTTGATTGATGGAATAACTTATTTTTTATTTATTTTTTATCTTTTAGAATACCAGTTGATGGGCTGCTATGCAGTGGAAATGTAAGTTATGCACTTACACATCAGAAAAGAGGGCACAACTTCTTAAACACTACCGCATAACTAGCGCTGCGCTGATACACTATGAGAACTCACTCAAGGCAGACAAAGAAGAAAATTAATAGTTGAATAAAGTCGTTATTTTTGTTTTTTTATTGCGCACAAAAAGTATTCTCGTCGCTTGATAAGCTTAAGATTGAGCCACTGTAGTCACTCGGACTATTTTAACGATTTCTTTAATAACTTTGGGGCCGGCCAGTTTCCATCCCTTAGAAGCCATGGAGGAGTGATCCAGCTCTCAGATTTAATCAAAAATATCTTAATTTGTGTTCCGAAGATGAATGAAAGTCTTACGGAGTTGGAACAACATGAGGGAGAGTAATTACTGACAGAATTTTCATTTTGGGGTGAACTAGCCCTTTAAGATATAGGCATATTGGCATATTCATTTGCACTAATTTCAAGTGGCCACTAGTTCAAATAAGTTAGGGTTAGTAAGCCACATACTGTTTCAAAGTAAAAAAAAAAGGTCTGTATTTATGGGTTGTAAAGGCCTATTTTATGTTATTTTTGCTTGTAAAGGCCTATTTTATGTTATTTTTGCTGTTTTGTTTGCATATGCCTGTTTTTAAAATGTCATGATAGCAGAATGTTGCTAGCCAAGAGGTCAAGAGAACACGGATGTTTTAAAGTATTTTTATTGTGATGTTCTTAATCTGTAAAAACATGTTTTTTACAAAAAATAAACAGTTGAGAATTTCACACTTGTGTTAAGTGCATTCCATGCTAGTTGAACTACCAAAAATACGTTTACTTTACTTGAAGAAAATGTGGAAACCGATTGCACATATTTTTTTAAGTCTCTGTAGCTTAAAATGGCAGATTAAAACCATGTTGAGAATAATAGTATTTAAGATGTTTGCAGAACAAATTATAACACTGTTAGTTAAATGGAATTACTCAAGTGATCTTACTATTAAATCTTAAGTAGTATTAGTAAATATTATTGAGTATGTTAACTAGAACTTTATATTAAACTAACTTGATATTTACTACTTAATTTACTTGGGAAGAGTTTGCTTTCTTTACTTTTAAGGCGAGACACTACAGGTGAATAGGGTAATTTTTTTAACTAGCAGATATCACCATGAAACTTTCCCAGTTGATTACCTACATTAAGATGAGAAAAAAATGTATTACAAGTTTTCTGTAATTTAATGTTTAAATATGCAAATTAGGCATTGTCTAATTAAATATGCACAAATTTGCATATATTTAAAAAAATGAAATCTGAGTATTGGATAAAGCCAGGTTCAAAATTATTTTTTCATTGTGTTCACATATTAGATGGGAAAAAATTACAGAGGGATTTATGGATATCTACTTGTGTTATCCTGTAAATCAGAATATACTGTCAATAGCCTTAAAAAAAATGATTTTTGCCATGTTTTTTGGAATAAAATGTTATATAAATCGGGCTAGGAATAATATATTTACAAATCCCTCTGTAAATGTCTTCATAATATAACTAGGTACAAGAGTGGAAAGTTTGGTGTATATAGGTGCTACCGAAGTGGAGATTTCGGACTTTGAGTATGAGAGAAAGGTCATTTTGAGAAAACGGGCTTTAAAGATTTAGCATCAGCCAATGAGATTGCGCATTTGCGCCCTTTTACTTTCACGATTGGTTGCTGATAAAAAGGAAATGACCATATTTGGATCCGACAACATTGTACAGGAGAGAGAGAGCTTTCTAACTGTGTGTGTGATGACAGGGTGCAGATCGCGATAGCGGAGCAACGGATGATTTACAACGCCAACTTTTGATGAATTTATGAGAAATCTACAGACGCAAACAGACAAAGTGTAGTAAAATAAAGACCTAAATGTGTATTTCAGACTTTTTTTCACCACAAGTCTGAAAGAAGACATGTTTTTGAAGACAAATATCCCGAAATCTCAAAATTGATCAGTGAAAAAAACACGATGTTTTTGCCTGCCGTGTCTCGCCTTAACTGATTATTAACTTAACTTCAGGTTTCCTTTTAAGTTTGCTTTGCAAAAATAAGGCAATCGGTTTCCAAACTTTTTTTTAAGTAAACTGAACTTGTTAGAATTTACAGTGAAGGCTTTGAAGCTGTTGGCATGGAGGCTAAGGAAGCAACAGGCTGAGAATACAATATATGAAATTAGGGATCCCAAAACTGAAAACATCTGTCATAAGCAAGAAGATATTCACAATATTTTTGAAAATTACTATAAAAATCTATACAAGGAACCAAATACAACCAGCTCACAGGAAATACATTTATTTTTAGAATCACTTGACTTACCTTCCATAGGTGAAGTACAAAATAAAGCCCTAATGGCAGAGATTACAAAGGAAGAAATAAGGAAAGCAATCTCTAGATTAAAAGTTAATAAAGCGCCGGGAACAGATGGCTTTCCACCCGAGTGGTATAAGGCTTTTAAGGATCAATTAGTCCCTATACTTTTTGATTGCTTTAACTATACACTTAAAGGAGGTGAGCCACCAAGAACATGGAGTGAGGCAATAATTTCAGTTATTTCTAAAGAGGGTAAAGACAAAAAGCAGTGTAGTGCATTTAGGCCAATTTCGGTTTTAAACATGGATTATAAATGATATGCATCGATATTAGCTAAAAGACTGGAAGATATAATACCAGAATTAGTGGATTCAGACCAGACAGGATTTGTACGTGACAGACAGACACAAGACAATATTAGGCGGGTGCTGCATGTAATTGATCATGTCACTAAAGAAAACATCAGAGCAGTAGTAATTAGTTTAGACGCCGAGAAGGCATTTGACTCAGTTCGCTGGGAGTACCTGTACTTGGCATTGAGAAGATTTGGTTTTAAAGATGATTTTATTAGATGCATTAAAATGTTGAATTCGTCACCAAAGGCTAGAATAAGGATCAACGGGCATCTCACTCAGAGTATTAACCTGGAAAGAGGCTGCCGCCAGGGATGTCCTCTCAGCCCCGCACTTTTCGCTTTATTTATTGAGCCCATAGCACAGGCAGTTAGAGACGAACAGGAGATAAAGGGGATTATGGTTCAAGGTTTCGAACAAAAGATTTGTCTGTACGCAGACGATGTTTTGTTGTTTGTTGCTACACCAGAGGTTAGTATCCCCAGGTTGATGTCCATCTTAAAGCAATTCGGCACTTACTCGGGATATAAATTAAATGTTCAAAAAACACAAATCGTAAATTATAACTATATCCCTCAGAATCACATGTTGAGTAGATTAAAATTTAATTGGAAATTATCAAGTATTAAGTACCTGGGGATTATAATAACAAAGAATATTTCTAAATTGTTTGATAGCAATTATGGTCCTATAAGTAAGAACATTAAATCTGATATAGATAGGTGGTCCCAACTGCCCTTAGAGATGCATAACAGGATAGATACAGTGAAAATGAACATGCTCCCCCGACTTTTATACCTCTTCCAATCCTTACCAGTCGAAGTCTCTTTAAAACAATTTAATGAATGGGATAAGTGGATTTCAAGATTCATATGGGGGGGTAGGAGGCCAAGAATTAAATTTAAAACACTGCAGCTACCGAAAGAGAAAGGGGGAAGATCACTGCCATGTTTATCAGATTATTTCAAAGCAGCCCAGCTAAAACCTTTAGCATGCTGCTGTAATCCAGAGTATACAGCAAAGTGGAAGGATTTGGAGATCTCGCAGCTCACTGTACCATTGCAATCAGTGCTGGGTAGCAAACCATTATATGAACAGTATTCTAAAAGTTTAAATCAATGGACTAAGGTTCCTCTTAGAATCTGGTTTAAAGAATGCAAATCTCCGTTACTTGAAAGACAATCTAGACTATTAAAATGGGTTGCTTTTGACCCCGACTTTAAACCAGCAAGGGCTGATGGGAGGTTTCAGCTCTGGTATAGGCTTGGCATCACCTCTTTTAGTTCAATTTCAAATTCAAAGGGAGAATTATATAGCTTTCAGGAGATCTCTAATAAATATGGTTTGGGAAAACTAGATTTTTTTAGGTACTTACAAACAAGGACTTATTTTAATAAAGAGATACGATACATGGAGAAGCATGACACCAATTTAATTGACTTATTTATTGACATGTATAAAAAAAAAGATAATAGGAAACTTATTTCAAAACTGTACCTAGCCATTCAATCCATAAAGAAACATTCAACAATTAAGGTTAGATTAAAATGGGAAAAAGAATCTGGTCTATATACTTCAGAGGAAGACTGGCTGAATATCTGTTCTATACAAGCGACTTCTACCAGCTCGGGTATGTGGAGAGAATTCTGTTGGCGGAATCTTATTAGATACTTTGCAACCCCCAAGTTAAAATCTATTCAGTCTCGCGAGAAGGGAAGTGGTCTATGTTGGAGGAAATGTGGGGAACAGCTGGCAGACCATTTTCATGTATTCTGGAGCTGCCCAGCTATTCAGTCATACTGGCAGGAGGTAATACAAGTAATACATTTTATTTTCGGTGATGGAATTGACTGCTCATTTTCTACAATTTATCTGGGAAACTTAGCAGCTCATTTGATGATAAAAGACAAGTACCTTTTAAAGATATTATTAGCAGCCAGCAAGAAAGCTGTAACACGAAAGTGGCTACAATTTGAACCCCCAACAAAGGCTGAATGGCTGGACATTATGTCCAGTGTCCAAGATATGGAGAGGATGACTTTCGCTTTAAACCTACAGATGGATAAGTATTTGCAGTATTGGGAAAGATGGATTGTGTTTACGAATTCATGACATGTTTATTGAGCATATATACTGACGTATTGATGTATATACTGACATACATACATTCATTAATTTTGTTTTATGCAAGAATGTATAAGTGACCAAACGATTGTTCTGTATTAAAAAAAAAAAGAAGCTAAAAGCAGTCCGCTGCGAGAGACCAAGCAGTGAATGCAAGTGAACTTCATGAACGAAAGAAATGGCAGACTGATCTCATGAAATGGCGTATGTATGACTTGCAATTCGTATTTCCATTTTTGGCGTGCTATCAACACGCATAATCGCTTTTCAGCGTGTTTATCAACGCCGTTGACTTAACGTACATTACTGTATATATAAATATATGACCTACCCCAACCCCGTCCCTTAACCTACCCGTCACTGGGGTTAATACTATTTATGAGTCTTCCCCTACCATCCTAGGAAAAAAAATATTGCTCCACAGATGTAAATATACATTTTCCTTCGTTTCGCTCGTACATTTAACGGCGTGTACATACACGCGGAATCACTCGGACATTTAACGGCGTAGACATACACGCGGATAGCTCAAAATGCGTATAGATAACACGCCACTTGACTTGAAAGTGGCGTGTATGTTTACGCAAAGTCAAGATGTCATGTTGGAAATGGACAAGTTACAGCCTCGTCAGGTATGCAACTGACTGGAAATTTAGCAGAAAATTAGAAGAGATTGTTAGAAGCAAGCGGGGTAGGTGGCAATTCCATCTACAGTACATTTCTGCATGTCATTGGCAAAGATGCTATTGATATTTACAACAGCTTCCAAATACCAGCAGACAAATTTAAATTGCAAAACGCCATGTCCAGATTGTAAGAGTACTTTGTTCCCAAACAGAACGTTACGTTTGAAAGGTACAAATTCTTCTCTTGCAACCCAAAAGATGGAGAAAGCTTTGATGTGCAGAAGTGGCAGTGTGGCGATTCTTGTTTATTTTGAATCTCAAACTTAAGCCAGTGACCCTACAATAACATAGACGAGAACTCAGCTTTCTATCGATTGACCCACTTTTGGTGAGTGTGGTTTCATCCACTTAATAGTTGTACTTAATAGGATTACATGCAGAATATATCTCTGAAAAACCTGTTATGATTAAATGTACAATACAATGAATTGTGTTTGAGTTCTACTTGAGTTCACAGGAAATGTGTTATTTTGAATTTGATGCTTCATTTGATCGAGCAGCTGCCAAAAGTTTTTGGGATGTGCGCACAATTTCTTTTTTTGCATTTTTAAAAAAACTGAGAACCACTGTTCTAATGTATCCACAGATAAAAAATAGCATAAGAACCACTGCCTTTGAACGAAAACCTTGAAATTGAGGATAATGGTGTTTTATCAAGTTATTTTGAAAAATGATTAAAATACATGCATGTTAAATAACAACAACAATTTAACTACAGTATTACTTACAACCCATTGCACATTTTAAGGACAAGTTGTAGATTTCAAAACAACTTTAATTTGTAGCAGAAAAATGTGTGAAAATTATATCAAAGCTTATACATAGTGTACTTAAGTTACACATTTTAAAGCAAACAGTTTTATAACCATCCTGGTCACACAGGCTCCCCTACATAGTTTTAATAAATCAAAACATTTCCTTGAATTTGAATTTTTCTACAACCCTTAAGGCCATTGCACACTGAAGTCCGAAATTTTTGCATGCGTTTTTCGTATTCGGTGGCTCTGAATTGTCAAAACACCATTCAAACTGATTGCTACGGATGCGAAAAACGCAGAAAATCGAACCCGATCCGATTTTTTTTATGACGGACGAAAGTTTCGGAGGCAGTGTGCAAGCGTGATTGACTTAACGTGAGGTCGAGTTTTTTTTTTTACGTGCGAAAATTTCGGATGCGAATTTCGGACTCAGTGTGCAATGGCCTTTACAATTAAAGATCACCTGATTAATACAGAATAAATGCCCTGAATAATCATTAATAGGATTTCTGATTAATTTCATGAGTCAGTCATGCAGAGAATTAGTTTCATATTCGTTTCCCATTCCTGTTTATACTGATAGAAACACTTTATAACTACTAACCAGCGATCAACCATTTAAGATGAAGAGAAGAAATCATGCTCATTTTGCATCTGTGCACGGAATATAGTTTTGGCCTTGACCACTTTTCCAGGTGTGTTCAGATACTTGTTCAGCAGGGCTTTGTAGTGCTTCTCCGGATGGCCACCCATATTATCCACCTTCCAAGTGTAGTACGCTGTAGTTGGAGGTGTGCTGAGGTTTTCACCCAGCCACCCCCAGAGTCTTTGGCAGGGCAGAAGACCCACAGCAAAGTACACCGGATCATCTTTCATCAGGTTTCTGTAGAAGGACAGATACTTCGTCATAGCTGGAGTTGGCCGAATAGTTGGCTCATTCTGTGGAAATGAGAGTATAAAGCATCGTCAATGAACTCGGAAACATTTGGACATTTATTTTCTTCTTCTTACCATGAAAAAGAATTGGTTGAGAATTAAGTCTGAATAATTTTTATAACTTGAGTATCTGCCATTCATGAATTTCTTGAGGTCAACAGGCAGGACTTTAGCACTCATTTTCTTCAACATTTCCGTCACGTTCAGTATGTAATTGATGTCTTGCATGGTGAAGCTGATGTAACGCTCTGCCTGCAGACTGCCATTCTGCATTTCTTTTAGGAAGTCCACCTGGATTGTCTTAAAGGCAATGTCTGTGCTGTTCTCCCAGAGATATTCATAAACATCTTTCACAGATTTAGTTTCCAAACTGTCACTCGGGCTGCTACAGAACGTGCACCTGTTACACACACAAACCATTACTAAACTGAATTCTTAGACAAGAGGCTTAATCGAAAGGTAATTGTTACTAGATGAGACAGTTCAATACAACTTCTCATGCATTTCTGATTAGCAAAAGGCCTAAGGAAGAGTCATTATTATATTAAGATATCATTTATTATAGAAATAAATAAGAGTGTTTTTTAGATTGGATTGTCTAAATTATGAGTGTAAAAACAAAATTTAGTAATCATGCCATAGTTGCTGTATCATGAAAGTAAAACATCTTACCTAAAACATAAGAAACTAAAACAAAGAAAGGCCACAGTCTTCATGTTTCTTAGGTCTTGATGTGCACTTGTCTTCAGCTCTCTTTAACTCCCTCAAATCTCCAATCCGATCACTACAGTTTATAGAAAGATCCATATATATATACTTGATTACTGGATGATACATACTGTAGTAACACCTAATGTTTTTGTAATTTCTACAGAGATGGATTAGATCAGTGGTTCCCAACCCTGTCCTGGCGCCCCCCCAACACTGCACGTTTTCTTTGTCTCCCCAATCAAACACACCTGATTCATCAGCTCATTAACCCATGTGATTATGAGCTGATGAGTTGAATCAGGTGTGTTTGATTAGGGAGACAAAGAAAACGCACAGTGTTGGGGGGGTGCCAGGACAGGGTTGGGAACCACTGGATTAGATGACCTGTCTGCTGCCCTGTACAAAAACCTTTTTAGGCTAAGACAAAAGTCTTCATTGTTAAAGATAAAACTTCCTTGTTGAAGAGGAAACTCCCTTGTTCAAGCCTTCCTTGTTTTCCATGTCAGAAGGTGATGGTGTCACTGCATATGAATGTGCAGAATAGCCTGATAGAGCTGTTAGACATCTTTGAGAAGTACTGGACCTGTTTCTGCTGTTAGAAGTGTGCAAGAAACTGCAGAGCTTCGTTAAATGTAGCCATTAAGGTTTACAAAGACATTAAGCATATTCCCAAAGCTAAACATAACCACTTAAAAATAAATAAATAAATAAAATAATGTTGTCAATATGAATTACATACAAATACTCCTAAGATCAAGTTGTTAAAATACATCACCAAGGACAAACAGTTTATGCAGTATAAAACTCATTATTTCTGTGGAAAGTCCCTATAAAACATGGAAACCCAATGTGTGTGTGTGTGTGTGTGTGTTTAAATGTATTTGTAAACAGTTTAAGAAAAACTGAATATAAATGCAATTAATGTCTAATAAAGGTTGGTTAAAGCACGTAATCAGTGTCATTTTCCCATTTTCTGTGACCTTATCTAAAGTGAGAACTATTTACTGTTAATAAGTTGTTAAAAAATATTGTCTAACTCTTTATATATATGAGCTAATTAAGCAATAATAGTTTGTAAATGAAAGTGACAATGAATGAAAAAGTCTCTATTAGTATATAGTCTATGTATTATCTGCAGTTTAATTAAATATAAACTAATAGTTTCTAAATGATTTTAAAGTACTTAATTGCTATACTTATTATTAAGTGTTACCGGATGCAATTAATGTCTAATAAATGTCTACCATAGGTTGGTTTAACGCATTTAATTAATTTTCCATTAATTAATTAACATTTTACGTGACCTTGTCTAAAGTGAGAACTATTTACTCCTAATCACCAATTAACAATTCTCTTCTGAACTCTCTGTGTCCCCTAAAGCCGCGGGTGCCATTTCATTTTATTATTTTTTTTTAAACAAAGAACACAAGGTCATCAAGGTTGTGTTACAAAATCTAGTCACAAAATATTTCCAGCATCTTGATATACAATATCACACTTTCCAATGGTTTATGTACATTTTCTGGTATTTTCCCCAGATATAATGAAGTGAACGAATAGTCAAACTGTACTCCTATCATTGTTTCAATTTCAGCCACTACTTGCCAAAAAAGTTGTATTTTGGGCAGGCCCAGAAAATATGGAAATGGTTATCCATCCAACTCCTGCTTTTCTATTTATTTGAAATGAACGAATAACTCTGTAGTTGCCCATTAGAGATGACTGAACAGTAAGATGTGATGCCTCTCCAAACCCATTGTTTAAATCTCTCGTCCATCCTAGCCGGCTCAAAATCTGGGTCAACCACTATCCAACTTAAAACTCCAGCTTGTTTTGTCTAATTGCAATTTCTTCAACACGTTGTAAGGCCTGCCCAATCGGTCCAACGACAGTTTCCGATAAGCGGTTTACTGCGTGTGACTGTCTTTTCCACGTGGCAAAGTAATTTGATTCCAATTAAGCTTTTATCTGACTCCATTTTATCACAACCTCGAATTTAGGTTAGATTGCCAATTGGTAAACCAACCTGTATTAGACATTAATTGCATCCGGTACCACTTTATAATAACTATAGCAATTAAGTACTTTAAAATTATTTGGAAACTATTAGTTTATATTTTATTAATATTTTATAAACTGAGGATAATACATAGACTATATGAGGGGCTCTTTTCCAAAACGCAATAAATCCATTTCAATAGTTTTCAGGAAAATTATTTTTTTTACCTAGACCCACACATTTTGTGAATATTCAATTTAGCCTGTTAAAATGTTTTTTCCCCTCAGTCTGAACATGTTGAACAATGATTATTAAATCAAACAACAATATTGTTGATGATAAATTCAAAGTAAATTTTTTTTTACAAAACGCTATAAATCCACAAAAGAAAAATCCAAAAATGGATGATTTTGGCCACCTAATTAAGTTTTGTTTTGTAGAAAGCCTTTCTTTAAAGTGAATTTCGTTTTGTATAAATTGTATCTTAATTTTAATAATTTTTTCATCAACCAATTGCCTGGATTTAATAAATAAGAAGCAAATAGACAATATAATCCAGCCCGATCTCACGGCAATTCGTACGAATTTTACGAGGTGGCTAATTCGTACTAATTCATAAGACCTCACTCAAATTCGTACGATTTTTGCTAATTTGTACATTGTAAGAGTGAGGTTGTATGAATTAGTACGAATTAGCCACCTTTTAATCACTCGTACGAATTGGTCGTGAGATAGCGGTGCTATAATCATGACATGGAGGCGCCGGCGTGGTCACTTGCATTACACGTGAACTGGAGCATCTCATCATAAATTAACCGAAATTCAGCGTATGCCTCACAGGCATGAGAAATATATCTATATAGAAAGCTTGAAATGTCTTTAAACGAAACAATTAAAAACGAAAATAAATAGCATAGGCCTACTCTCTGATTATGTAATCCATTACATGCATTTCTCTCTAGGCGCGTTCACTACAGAGATGCTGATCGTCAATTTCATCTTTGCAGACACTGACACACAGAAAACAGTTGATTAATAAAAATAAAATAAAAATTTCGATTTTCGAACGATATTCGACTTTTGCTCCTTGATTGTCGAATGCCATTTTTGGCAGAAATTATAAACAGAAACCTTTGGCAGCAGCATCTACCCCAGGTGTAGGTTTCACTGGCTCATCAAGGCCATCAAAAGTGTTATCACCATTTAAAGCACTTATTTTGAGGAATGAATGAACATAAACAAACCTCTGTTCAGCGCGCCGATGTTGGATTGCGTAGAACGCTCACTGAATTCTGATTTGTCGAGAGAGGATTTATCGCGTTTAGGCTAAAAATAGGTTTGGCGCTTATCGCGGTTTGGATAAGAACTGCATCTTGCAGTACATTTTAAACAAGGAAATATAGCGATTTGGCATGAAACATTGATGAAGCAGTGAATAGGTTCAGAACACAGCAAAATGACATGACAAACAAATTTTTTTTTAAATGGCGTTTATCGCGTTTTGGAAAAGAGCTCCTCATATACTAATAGAGAGTTTTTCATTCATTGTCACTTTCACTATTATTGTTTAATTAGCTCATATATATAAAGAGTTAGACAATATTTTTTAACAACTTATTAACAGTAAATAGTTCTCACTTTAGATAAGGTCACAGAAAATGGGAAAATGACACTGATTAAGTGCTTTAACCAACCTTCATTAGACATTAATTGCATTTATATTCAGTTTTCCTTAAACTGTTAACAAATACATTTTAAAAAAAACACACACACACACACATCCTTGTCTTTGTGGCATTGTGTGGCCACCTGACAGGATCATGCATTCTGGGAACCATCCTTACTGAATGTTGTACCTAAAAAAAATCCGGAAGCACACTGGAGTGGTCATAAACACAGATGTCACATCAAATGATGAATCAGACCAAGTAGAGTTCCGTGGCCTGACTAGGAACCGCTTCCTGGAGACTTGTCAGGTATTTAGTTATTAATGGGGTCCACATATACACACTATCTGTTTTTTCAGTCTTCTGGGTACCACTTGACACACATTCAGGTTAAACTTACTTTGAGAACCAATTACAATTGTCATGTGCCAAGATATTTGCTGGAGCATAATTTCTGGCAAAATTGATGTTATGTAATTGTACAACCTAATTATATTATATACTGGTAAGGTTGAAAAGGTTGGCCAGTAGAGTATTATTATATTATTAGTCAACATGCTGTTGTGTAGTTGCTAAGTGCAACAGAAGTAAACTGTTTCCATACTCCCTTAGTCAGAAAATAAGTCCCTTTCTTCGGGATGTCTGAGCTTGTTTGTGATTAGCATTTGTGCAATATGACGCCTTGTAACACAAAGGTCACAATTAAGGTCATCATTTTACAGGACACAACTCCCAACAAATAGTAACAACAATAGACTGACTGCTAAATTTTAATTTCAACTGCTGGAATATTGAGTCATCTTAACTCCATTAAATGCTTACAGGCTCTTTTTACAAGCAACATCTTAACGTTTCTTAGTGCTAGGTACCACCTATCTAATTCCGACATTCCACATTTGAGACGTCTTAAACGAACAACATGTTCTAACTTAAACGTGACATAACAAGCATATCCAGGCCCCCCCCCATTGTGTGCTCCACACACACGCGTAAATTCAGAAGACACATACATACACAGACTTTTCATGAACTTCCTCATATAA